CAGAATCGATCCATCTCATCGAGGGTCTTCCTCTCCTGCGCTGTCCCTCCACTCTCCCAAATATGATGTCCCTCTCCAAGGACAAGTCCCTCCTTGCAACATGCCCAAGGTATGTTAGATGAATCTTCATAATCCTTGACTCCAAGGAGTAGCCTGGATTCACCCTCTGCAGAACAAACCTGTTTGCTATCCTAGCAGTCCATGATATACTCAACACTCTTCTCTAGCACCACAGCTCAAATGCATCAATTCTCTTTCTACCATCCCTAGTCACTGTTCAACTCTCCGATGCATAGCACTTAATTGCGGATCAGGCGTGCCTTAGTCTCTAGCCTGACGTCGTTGCACTTCAGTACTCTTGAGAGGTCCCTCACAGCTGACGTTCCCAATGCAATTCGTCTCTTGATTTCCTGGCTGCTGGTACCAAGAGTGTTGACTGAGGAGCCAACTCACTTCAAAATTATATCAAATTAGAGAATCTCATGTAACACAGCATATAGAGGATTTACTACTTTTCTCAAATGAATTGAGGGTTTTGAAATGAAAGACACACAAGATAATGAACATTGTTAAGGGCCAAAACTTTCCCTTGCATTGTCATCTGCTGTAGGTGTCTGCATTTACAAGCCAGGCAGGGAAGTTGAAGTTGTTGTTGTTGTTGTTATGTGCCATCGAGTTTACTAAATAGAGGGACCCAATGAGCAATAGATGTGAACCTTGCCCTATCCTATACCATCTTTACCGTCTCTGTTGTACTGAAGCTCATTATTACAGTCACTATATCAATCCAGCTTGTTAAATTCTTCCTCTTTTTCTCTGACCCTCTAATTTTCCCAGTGTAATGTCTTTTTCCAAGGACTCATTCCCTCTGATAATATGCTCAAGGAATATGAGACAAAGTTTTACTATTCTTGCCTCTAAAGAACACACTGATTGCATTTCCTTCAAGACAGACTTGTTCCTTGGGTGGTGGTGTTGAGTGGAGTATGACACATAGCAACTTTATGAACAAAAGATCTGAACCTAGTCCAGTCCTGCGCCATCCTCACACTTCTTTACACACAAGAGCCCATTGCAGCAGTCACTGTATCAATCCTCCTGGTTGAAGGTCTTCCTCTCCTGACCCTCTGCCCTTCCCAACATCATGTCCCTCTCCAAGGAATAGCACCTCTTAGCAATATTTCTAAAGTCTGTGAAGCAAAACTTCATCATTCTTGCCTCCAAAGAGCATGCCAGCTGCATCCTCTCCAAGACATTTCTATTCATTCAGTGCTCTTCTCTAACACCACAGCTCAAAGGCATCATTTCTTTTCCTGTCATTTTTATTCATTGTCCAGGTCTTGGATGCATAGATAATAATTGGAAAGAGTATGGCCTGAATTAGAAACATCTTAGTCCTCAAGCTGACATCACTACTCCTCAATAATTTGGAATGGCCCCTAACTGCAGATTTGTCCAATGCAATGTGTCTCCTTGTTTCCTGACTGCTTGTACCAAGGGTGTTAATTGTGGATCCAAGTAAGACAAAGCTTTTGACAGTTTCAATCTCCTCTCCACCCATCATGACACTGCCTACTGGTCCAGTGGTAAGAATCTTTGTTTCCTTGATATTGAGACACAGTCCATACTGAAAGCTGCATTCCTTGATCTTCTGCAACAAGTGCTTCAAGTTTTCCTCACTTTCAACAAGTAAGGTTGTGTCATCTGCATAACACAGGTTATTGATGAGTCTCCCTCCAATCCTGATGCCACATTCCTCTTCAAAAACCCTATGAACACTAAACAAAGAGGATAGTTCCTTTGGTAGCCCATGAGATATCCCATGGTGAGGCAGGAGGCTGGTAAATTTTACATTTACAGAATAACACTATAATAAGTGTCCCATTTCTGAAATCTTCGCCTAGTCCTACAGCTAAACCTAATTTTGAGCAAAATTAGTTTGCATGAAATTGTGTTCAGTTCCTCTTTAGACCCAGGTTTTTGAGGCTTGAAACATTGTAGTAAAAGAGCTCTTGGAGAGAATACTGTATTGCAAATAGGGGTGAGCTCAGCTGAAACTTGAGACAGATGGTTTTAGTTTCTATAGACACAGAAGGGTTTGGTTTTGTTTTTAAAGTTCCAGTCACTCTCATTTGTGCTAAATTTTCCAAAGGAGTAAATCTGAAATAATTGTCCGTTCCTCCCTTACAGGAACTACTTGGATATTAAAAACAGAAACATACACAGACACACACACATAAAAGAGGAAATAGTTGAGCAGGAACTCAGAAATCATGTGATTGATGACGAATTTAATTTTTGTCTGCTTACTGAAAAAGAAGAATCTGATTATCAGCCAGCCAGCCGGCTTCCTTTCTTTTTCAAGCTTTGGCGATTTTCAATCATGTTCTCGTTTATGCTTTTCCCCACACTGTTTCCAACTGTATTTCCTGAACCCAAGCAGCAACACTGGATCTGCAACTCCTCTGATTTAAGTGTTTGGTACACCTACTGTGGTAAGTGAAAAAGCCACTCCAAATGCTTTCAGCTGTTCCAAAGGTGAGTTTTCACAGGAACTTATTCTTCGTTGCCAGGACACAGGAAATGATTGTGTGTTCCAGCTGCTTCTTATGACAGGAAAGGCATGGCTGGTAACTGCTTTGGATCTTCTTGGTCCCTCACAGGCCTCATGATCTCTAAATCATGTTGTGCTTGACCTCTGAATACTTCTGTTGTTTCCTGGCTAGTGTGACCAGCTAGCTCCACTTTCAGCTCAGTATAGAATTCTTCTCAGTAGAACTGTTTGCTTCTGAGTTTTCACCCCTGCCCTAAGACTTAAGTTGTCTTCTTTTTGAAAAAGTAGAACCAGTCCTAACTATCCACGGGGATTAGTTTCTGTTCTGGGCTGTGATTTATAGGACTCTTGGAATCATAGCCCTTATTGGAGCTGTTCAAAAAGAATAAAAACTCACTAATATTGGAACATAAGGTTTATTGTGGGCAGTTAGTCTACTTGTACACGTGCAAACCAAACCCAAACCATGGCGACCGAGTCAATTCTGACTCAGAGTGACCCTATAGGACAGAGTACAACTGTCTCACAAGGTTTCTAAGGCTGGAATCTTTACAGAGGCAGACTGCCACAACTTTCTTCCATGCAGCAGCTGGTAGGTCCAGAAAACAGCCTAAAACTTTAACTGCATCACAACCAGTGCGTCTTATATGCATAGCTGTTAAGTTGGAACTGACTCATAGCTGACGTTTCAGTGGGTTATTATTAGAGGCTCTAATGGCTTAGTGGTAAGGAATTGTGCTGCCAGTACAAAGGTACACAGTTTTAATCCAATGGCTCTTGATAAGAAAAAGATAGGCAATCTTCTCCCATGCAACTTTCTGCCCCTGAAAACCCACTGGAGGATCAGCTATGGGTCATTTTCCAACTGGATGGTAAACAACAACAAGGCCATCTTTTCCCCTCAGAGCAGCTAATGGATTAAAATGACAGTGCAATTCTTAACCACTAGTCCACCAGTGCTGTTCTAGAGGCATTTAGGGAGACTGTTGTAATTCTAGAAAGAACAAATGGCTCAATGAAGCTAGATTTAATGAAGCTTATGAAGAGAAGGGACAGGAGAAACATCAATTATCCATTGACTAATCGAATGTGGTTGAACTCAGTTTAGGTCAGGTGACTTCTGGCCTGGCTGTAAATGTTGCCTCCCCATCAAACTGTAGTCATAAGCCTCTCTGAGGCTTAAATCAGGACATGCTGGTTTGATTACTGCTTTTCAAACAGATAAGACAAATTTACAATGCAGTGGAGTGGTTTTTAGTAGGCATTTAGAATTTGAAACAGGTTTTTTATTGTTAATTTTTGGTTTCATGGATAAGAAAAACTAAAAATCTAAGTAAGATTTACTTTGTTGTTAATGCTGATAACTTACTATGTTATTAATTTTCCTATTTAACAAGTGCTGGCCCAGTTCTGTCAGTTAACTGGGTAACCTTAGGCAAAATCTTAGGCACTAATCTTACTTGTGCCTGAGCATTCTTACCTATATGATAAAAATGATTTTGGAAGTGCCTTTACAACAATTCTTGTGAGGTGAAATTTTAGCACAGGAGACATTGTTAATAATAAATGGTAGCTTTTGGTTGCATTTAAATCGGCCATATTAACTGCTATGAACTGGTTGTATGACTGTTCTCTCCCTTCCTGTTACCAAATATCGTCCTGTTTGAGGGCACAGTTTCAGGGCCTGGCTGCTGTTTTGTTTGGGTGCTTTCCATGGTGTTTCTTCCCCTGGGGTTGACTGACATTTTCTATACACTAGCAGTACCAGGAAGGTTTAAAGTGAAAATACTAGCTCTCTGACACTCTGGGAGGAATGGCATGGATTTACCATTTGAAGAAGATTTATAAATGAACCTAAAGTTCAGTTCCGTGTTTAAGAAACACATACTCTCTCTCCCCACCTGTCTCTCTCTGCACCCCATCTCTTCCCCCCAACCCAACGCTTCCCTCCCCATCCCATTTCTCTGTCTCTGTCATAACTATCAGGTCAGAACCGACTCACAGATAACCTACCAATGGGGTTTTGTAGACTGTAAATCACATAGGACGAGATTGCTTTTTCCCCCCCTCTCTCTCTACAGAATCACTGGTGGTTTGGAACTGCCTATGTTTGGGTTGGCAGTGCAAATTCTTATCCAGTAGGCCACTAAAGTTCCCTAAAGAAACACACAGTTGTATGCCTAGAGTCAGAACTGACCTATAGCTGACCCTCCAGTGGGTTTTCGGAGGCAGTTAATTGCACAGTCAGAGATTGCCTATCCTTCTCCCGTGAAGCAGCTGGTGGATTTGAACTGAGTGCACAACTTCTTATCATTAGGCCACTTGAGCTCCTTAAAAGAAATACATTAACCCCCCCCCCATATTCCAATTTTGTTAATCTTGAGCTTATGTGTGTGATATTGAACGGCCTGCTGAACAAGCCCTGGGGATTAAGATAATGGATTGCCTGACTGTGTGACCAGTCCCCCACTGTGGCTTTTTTCTTGTTTGTAGATTGTGCTGAATTTCCCTTCAGTTTATCTCTGAAATCTATCCATCAGACAAGAACTCAGATCTATTAAAATCAAATGGATTCTGACTTATGGTGATTTTGCATGTTACTAAACAGAACTGCTCAGTAGAGTGTCACATTTGCAGAAGCTCATCTCCCGCTCTTTCTTCCGTAGCATCAGTAACTAAGTAAAAATGCCCAATCTCTTTCCAGGCCTTTTAATTGTGTTTAGATTTTATCCAACCTGAAATAGCCCTGTCCATCCTCCTGTTTCATGTATGTTGCTGTTTTCTGGCAAGACTTGAGGTTGTAGTGCTGCTGAGGAAAAAACACGTAGAAAGACAAAGAAAGGGAGGCACAGGGCGTCAGGTAAAAAAGACAAGACCCCATGTTTATTTTTTCTCAGCTTATAAAGAGAATACAAGCATTCCATTACTTATCAGAAAAGCCAAACTTCTTGCTACACAATAAACAATTATCTCAAAGACCATAAAGTAATACATCAAACAGTTTTCTCTGAGGCTAGAAAGGAATGTAACTTTGGGCATTCAGGAACCAGGGCTTTTAATAATTTACTCAGATGGTATTAATAAAGACACGAAAAGCTTATCTTTACTTATTTTACGTTCTCACACGTACTTTCGCATCTCATAAATTTGTATTTTCTAAAGCTCTCAAGAGTTTTATTTTCCACTAAGGATGCTCTTCTGGGTCTTATGAGGTCTCATGAATTCACCCTGTTTTTCTTGGGGACATGTCTGTGTGCTTGGTTAGTAAGCTGTTTTCTGCTAGCTTCCTGCTGAGTGTTCTCAATCTATACTTTAAACTACATGTCGAGAGTCAGCCAAGGAAGAGTGGCTTCAGAGATTCTTACACATGTAAACTTTTGGAAGTCCATAAACCATCTGACTTGTGACTTGAGCATAGTGTAGTCTGTTCAGTTTTATTTGATATAATAAGATTTTGTTGAATGGGCATTACATTTTAATCACTATGCTAAGAAATGTTGAATATGCAAAGATTGTGGTTATTGTTGTTATGTGCCTTGGAGTCGCTTGCGACTCATAGCGACCCTATATATACAACAACCCTAAACTTTGCTCTGTCCTGTGCCAGTCGCACTGTCTCTGACACTCCCATCCCGATTACCCTAGTCACTGAATCAATCCACCTCATAGAGGGCCTTCTCCTCCTGTGCTATCCCTCCACCCTCCCAAACATGATGTCCCTTTCCAAGGACTGGTCCCTCCTTACAACATGTCCAAAGTATGTTAGAGGAGCCTCAGAATCCTTGCCTCCAAGGAGCATCCCAGTTTAACCCTTTCCAGGATGAATCTGTTTGTTTTCCTAGCAGTCCATGGTACCCTCAATATTCTTCTCCAGCACCACAGCTCAAAGGCATCAATTCTCATCTTTCCTCCTTAGTCATTGTTCAACTCTGATGCATAACAAGTGATAGCAAAGACCATGGCCTGTATCAGACACA